CAACCTCTTTATAAGCACATTTTCAACAAAAGTTGCATTGTTCCCGACAGCATGACTATAGAGAGGGTTGACTGTATAATCTATTTTTTTCTCTTACCGATTGAAGCTGGATCTCGCTGTTATTGGGAGATTAGAAAGTTATTGTCGTAAAAATAATACTGGACAAGCAACAGTATATCTTGGTTGCGCTCAAAGAATGGATCAAAAATCTATACGTCCAGACAATCGACCGACGAAGATAATAAGTGAAGCAAGACCTCCGATTGAAAGATATCCGTGTAAGGGGAAGATTGCTATTACTATTGATATCAACATACGTCAAGCAAAAGTTAAGATCAAGCATTTAATTTCTCATGAACGTCCAACCTACCGCGAAAATAATTTACCCGAAAACGCCATACATGGATATTCAATAATCTCAATCGAAACCTCAGAAAAGTTGACGTTTACAAAAAGCTTTGCGAAGAAGGGCTTGTTGATTCAACAATACACACCTATCGCCAAGTGTGTTATTGGGCTTCAACATTTTCCGCTCAACAATATGTCATCAATGCCTCCAATCAACTCATATAGTCTCTAAACTTTTTAAAGCAAAACAAATTAATTGATGGGGGATACAAAGTAATGCTATACAGTCGCACCTTGTTATAGTCACTCGATATAGTCACATCATATGAAAACCAATTAATATAGAGCTTATGAAAAGTACCTCTATATAGGCACAATTTGATTTAATCACACTTTTTTTTGAGATCCCGATTATATCGAAGTGCAACTGTATGTCGAAACCGATTTTGTGCGAGCACTTGGATTCCTTACACCATTTAATGGTCATATTCGAAGAGACAATATTACAAATTAATGAAATTATAATAGATTTTACCTTCAAGACCAATCAAGAGAAGTTTGGACTCTTTGCAGTGATAATAAATTGCGCGGTTATGGAGTTCCACTTGCATAGAAATACAATTAATTCACGAGTAAAAGTTCTTAAAGAATTCTTTCTGTCATTAAGACGTGGTGGAATCTTACCTACTTTTGTTCTTGTGGATAAAGATGCTGGCCAATATTCAGCTTTGTTTATGGCATGTCAAACATGCAATTAATCGTAAACTAAGAGATAAAAAGTATAAATCGAGTCAGTATACAGCACGGAAAGCGAAAGAAGCCAATGAACAATTTCGTTTTATTGATGTATCTGGATACCTGGAGACAATGAAGGTATTCTGTACCCACAAGATAAAATAAAAGAAGTATTAAATATGGTAAAACAACATGCAACACTTCACCCGCTTATACCAATCAGCAAAGAAATCTTTCTTACCTCAATGGAGATTTATCACCAGTGTTGAAGAGATGTATAGATATTGCAAAGAAAACAATCTAGTTAATTTGTGGGCATATTTGTGGATTAATTGGTATAATAAGTCAAAAGCAATACCATTAGCAAGAACAACAATGCTTGTAGAATTGTTCTAAAATATAATTACAAATATAACTGTAATCTTCCTTGCCTAGATCGCCTAACACAGATCCTAACAAGAGAATTGATTCCCGATCAAATAATCAACTGTAAAAGATTGAACAATCATCGAGCTTTCCCTTCCTGGTGGGGAGCATTTAAAAATGAATGGAAAATAGCATTAGACAAGGATATTGGCTCAGAAGACAACTATTTAACGGATATCAGTAATTGGATTTGCTCATGTGTAAACATATCGTAAAAGCATAATATTGAAACAAGTCTTCATGATCGTAGTCAATTAATCGAATCTAAGAAAGTTGAACTTACTGATGACAAAAAGAAATCTGAGTCGTTATTGAAAATCGTTTCAGATAACATTCAAAACGATCAGTTTTATCATACATATAAGCGGCTAAGACAAGTCTTAATGAACGAAACACAGGCATGTGAAAAGGCTTTAAGAGCTAGAACACAACAGAGAACGTGGAACCCACCCCGCAATTCAAGACTTGAAACGATCAATGTAATAAATGTGACAGATTAAACCGAAATTGAAATTTTCTCTATTTTTAATATACAAACTTAAAATTTTTGGGGGCGCTTTTTTGGGGATTTGGGTTGGGATTTAGGGTAACCTTTGTTAACAGACGAGTATATGTGGGTTTCAGAGGCATTCAAGAAGACCTCAAATTTCGTTTTAATCCTTCGATTTCGTTTCCACAATAAATAATGTAATCAGGGCGTAATGCCGATTTTAGACTAATTTGCGCTGTGAAACTTGCTACCCAATCACAATCATACTGACAGTCTTAATCATGTGACTACTCTTTTTTCGCCACCAATCATAACCCCATGATCGACACTAATTTTAGTTCAGTTTCACAAAAAGCATTAATTTAGTAATAACAGCGTTTTGCAACGGCGCCACGCTACATTAGGAAACAAAAATGTTGCGAAAAATCCGCGACAGCACAAAACGCTATAATTAATCTAGATTTAATTATTCTTCTAGAAATAGTTAAAAGTGCGTTAGTAGCTCATATTCCATCCCAAATCTTAATGCTGTCATGTTGTAATGTTGTCCATGTTGTGAAATAAAATAATACTACTGATCTTACCGCAATCCTTTATTATAAATATACATTTTATTTCTATCGTCGAAATAATTGATTATTAGACTGGACGCTCCAATAAACGGCTCACTTAAGCTGTAACAGAATAGCATTGATTATATCAAGCTCATAAGCTGTCTGCGGATCAATTACGTGAATAACGGAACGAGAGTTCATAATTAATTATCGAGATGAATATTGTTTAATTAGTTAGAGACAAGTGACAAAACCCGACTAGTCGAAACACCAAATCGAAGATAGCCCTGTTTAATTATTAAATAGATTTATTTCCCCTTCGATGAGGCGATAGAATAATTATAGTGCTTCAATCTCAATCAGTTCAGAAGATAATTGTCGTTTCATCCCATAAGGAGAAACGCGGACCAACTGGAATTGGATTTTCAATAACAGAATAGGCAATTCACATCAGCGAGTGTTATTAACGATAAAATCAGTCATCGAGAACAAAATTATGTTGACAAGAGAATTATTATTTGCTATCTGATCATGCCGTTCGGTTGTGTTGCTTGTTCAAACTTGCGAAATGAGAACTTATAAGTTGCACGTTGAATTGTGCTTTAAATCTACATATGAATGACACGTACACAAAATATTTTGGTATCTCATAAATGGTGCCTTTGCTCACTATGTCTCGTACTTATTATGTTAACAATCCCGATTAGCATAATAAACGCGTTCTGTTAATACATGTCTTGAACTTGTACCTTGTTTATTTGCTAGTTTCAAGAAATAAATTTCACAATAAGTAATGTCCAACTTGGAAAATTTTAGACGCTGATGTTGTCTTGCCGCTATAGGCTCGCTGAGCAAGATTCGCTAATGCCTACAGATAAGAATTTAAGCTTACTGATGCACAACAAGCTTCCCATTCACCTCTTATAGCGGTATCCGTTCACACTCGTACTTCATTCTAAATCTTCCGCGTGTCGTTTGTACCAAGGCCCTTTCGTCCGACTTTTACCCTAGCCTCTACGGGTTCAGCTATCCCTCCCGAACGACCAAGTGTCTGGCCCTCGCTCCAACTACAAAATCGTAAACTCAGTATGACGTTGTTAATTGTTGACCCACAAGTATAAATGACATACCCCAACTTAGAAAGCATCTGATGACCAATATTCGTGGCAGATATCGGAGGTGCTAACGCTATCATACCAAAAAAAATACATATATTATAATTTACACGATAAACGGTATATTGACTAATTTTCGACAGCCAGCTAACCTCCAACAATGCTCCCGGCCGGTGGTTTGACTTTATTCAATAATTCAGTGTTTCCCACTTTGGCTGGTCGACGATTTCGTTTCAAATCTCTCTTTGCAAATGCCACATATTTGCGTATTGATTCCATACGCCTTGGCATTCCTGTAAGCTGTGTCTTATAAATCGTCAAGGAACTAGCGATATCAAATGTAGTTAATAGATAAAACACAACTACTTCGCACATGAAAAATCCGTAGAACTACCAATACCAAAAATGCTCTCTATTGTTAAAATCTGTTTCGAGACGATAATGTCTTGCTATTATATGCGCATGGCGGCGCGGCGTGTTAAGCATTTGTTGAAGCACCAATCTATTAAAAAGAAGATACATTTTCGTTAAAGTCACCATATGACTGAACTCGGAACAAGAATTTTAGTCATCTTACGTCTTAATGCTGGGATCCATTACAAACTCTCGAATCAGCCGTTCAATCGTACAAATGTTTATCGGTGGATACACAGAATCAGCCAGAGCAGCATTCTTCTCGGCCCGACGTTTTTGTTTGGCTGCAAAATTTGCTTGCTTTCTTTCTTTCTTCTCTTTCCGTTTCATTTGATAGGACGCAAAAGCTTGTGCATCTAACTCTCTGCGCAACTTTTTCATCCGTTTGCCACCTTTGGAAGCACCAATGTAATTCTCGTAATTTGTCATCGCAGGTATGTTAGCCGATCTGAGGTTGGCTCTTTCAAGACGTGCTTTAAAACCTGTCAATTGTAATTGTATTTGATTTAAATCATTGGCGACTACACAATAAATCTACGTGTCCAATAATATTATATACCTCCGCGTCCAGAAAGTGTATCGTTATAGGGACTGACACTGGAATGAGCTCCATTAGTTTTCATCGAGCTTTGATGAAAAACCGTATTACCGTCATCATAAATTTCTTCTATCGTATTATAACCATAGTAGTTCCATTCGTTTTCTGGGTCTTCAATGACAGTTGATGAAACCGTCCGAAAACCGATGGCATTTTCGGCAACTATTTGATTATGCGATTCACTACCCATCGCCTGTAATTCTTCGAAATCGATTCCATCTATGCTCGACGAGTCATCATCGTTGCTATCTTCAGAATCATCCTTCTCGGCAACTTCTTTATTTTCCAAAGATCTAATGTAATCCGGATCACTGACCGACACGTTCTAAGAATGTATAAATTAAGATATATAAACGCGACTAGGATAATCAATGCTCTGAAAACCAGATATAGCAAAGTAACCTCACCTGAAAATAATCTTGTAAAGATTCCATCTCATCTGATTGGAGCTCGTCCTCACTGATAATTTCGGGATACATTCTACGACCACGTTTATACTCCGTTTCTTTCCCTTTCACCCCCACTTGACCTCTACTATTCATTGTCATCCGGGAAATTTTTTTCTGCTCCTCATCATTTGTATTCAACGATAGGTTCGAATTGTTCTGAGTAATACTGGTCTGCGTACGACCCCGACCCCGAGAATCACCATTTTCATACACGTTCAACAAACTCCTCCCATTATAAAGCTCGTCTTCCTCGTGTTTAACAGGCTTGTGTGCCAGGGTACCGCCCCAGTCACGAGAAGGCCCTGGAGCTGCATTAGTTAACTTTTGCTTTACTGGAGTCTCTACCTTCAAACCCGGAGGCAGTGCATCTTCATCGACCCATTCAAAGGCTTGCGACAATACTTCACTTTCATAACCTTCAAAGATCGTAACAGTAATAAATAAAAATGTTGCAGTTGTGATAATTCATCCACGATCTATGCGTGATTTACCTTCAGAGGAACACGAAGAGTTTTCATATAAAGCTGGCGGCAGGCTTGATGATTCGTCAACATGTCTCTTATAATATTCGGTTTGAGTAATGGGAACAGTGTTGTTATTACGTTTCTGTTTTTTTTTCCTTCTTGGTACCAAGTTGGATTCTCCAGTGAAGACGCCATGTATTTGCGTATGATTATTTGTAGTGTTGCATGACAGAGCTCCTCCAGTGAGCGCTTAAGTATTAAAAAAAAGAAGCTATTGGGCATACTCTATGCATAATAGTCCCTCAGAAAGAATATATGTAGCGGCGAATTATCTTCTAACGATACCTCGTTCTAAATTTAGTTCAGCTAACTGCTTTTCGAGTTTTGTTACTTGCCGAGTTAGATTCTCGTATTTCTCGAATATGTTTCCAGAATGTACCTTTCCCTTCCCCTTCCTCTTCCCCTTTTTCTTTCGCACATCATGCGGTCGACGGGTTTTTGCCGATCTGCTAGACATTGCAAGAAATTATTAAGCCGACGCAGCAACTTAAACTTCCCAGTGTGTGTTTATACCTTGAGTCACCTGAATCAACCCCAAAGGGGTAGACAAAGTCAAATGATTACCCATGTTAAGCACCGCGGTGACGTAAACATAGCGCCAACAAAGGACGGTTTAAAGAGTTCATATTAATATTAATATAAGCTAGAAGAAATGAATAGGCCGACGTGTTACAAATCGGAACCAAATCTCTTGTTATTATAGATTTCTGAAACGAGTTAACCAGTGCTGTTTTTATAATAAACTGCGAATTTCTGCGCATTGAAAAATTAAAAAATTTTTTGTTCCGTTCTCACCGCTGCATACCATCATAAGTTGCTGCCATCTCAATTAGTTATACCTTTACAATTGCGGTCATGTCATTGAATAATCTAAGATTAATGAGATACATTAACGGTTGACACAAAAGAAACCCATACCCGGCTATGAATTTAGAGGAGTTGGACTGCTTTCTCATACATACCGGAATTAAGCTCAGGGCTTTACAGTGTGTTGCGAAAAAAATGGTGCGTGAATTAGAAAGTTACCGTAGAGCACTGAATATAGTACCCCCCTTAAATAGTATCCCCCTAAATTAGGACCCGGGTACAATTCAGGAATTTTTGGTAAAGTTTTTGAAATGTACCCGGGTACAAATAGTTTATCGTACGTCACGTGTTACATATACTATGGTAATAGTACAATGCGAGGAATTTCAAAGTACCCCCCTAAAATAGTACCCTCCTCCGTACATAGTACCCCGGGTACATCCCCCCGGGTACAATTCAAAAACTTGAGGTGTTCTAGATATGTACCCGGGGTACTATATTCAGTGCTCTACGGTAATTTTAGAATAACAAAAAACGCGCGGTTGTTTGCATAATGACTATATTTATAAATGGTTATTTACTTAACCGTCCTCTTTCTTAATTCTTTGAATTCTGTAAAATGGTTAACATAAAGCTCGAAGCACGACGTCAAGCAATTTTACATTATTGGTTGAATGAAATTTCCTCTGCCAAAAAAATACATCAAAAACCCTTCGTACTATCCAACAAAACTTAATTAATATTAATACAATAGGCACCATTCCGTACGTCCAAGGTTATACGAACCGCATTTCGTTCGATCAACAATTCGTTTTAAGCAAATATAGAAACTTTAATTTTGTAATAGAAGATTCCTCAACATCATCACCATTACCATCCTGACTTGTCACAATAGTTGTAAAATCTTTTGTTTTGTCTTTTGGTGTAGTGGGTATAGTATAGTATAATTATACTATACCCACTTGGTCTAGGTTATACCCACTCAGTTAGGTTATATCACTCAGTTAGATTAGGTTATATTCACTCAGTGCGGTGAGTTTGCATTTGTATCGTCATTTGCTGAGGAAGTCAGCCCTACTCAGTTACATTTGCGTCGCCATTCGAGTGACGACGAGTTTGCATTTACGTCATTGTTCGAGTGACGACAAGATCGCGTTTGGCGGATAATTTAGGCGAGTGATATGATTGGTCAGCTGTCGAACTGATTATTTCGCATTTGTGTCATCATTGTTCAGGAAGTTACGTCCGGTCATGTATTTTTTATCCATGAGCCACAACTTAGGAAAAATGGAGTTTTAAGGCTTTGCTTCCCCCCCTAAACAACGGGGATTTCGTTCCATAATATCCGGCGCCGTGCGTAATAATTTATGATTTGCTGGAAATTTCTCGCAAAAGCTAACCAAGAAGGAAAGCCACGAAGTTAACAGTTGGTATAAAAAAATGGACCTAGAAAATAATGCACGGAGTGCACGCTTTGCGTGACGATGATTTCATGGTAGTACACCAAAGTATAATTCTATAATATATTTTTTGTAATAATTCTACCTTGATGTACTATTAATTACATGCTATTATAATAACTCTGTGCAACGCGCGCATAGTCCATGTATATGTATATATACTAATACCTTTCTACTAATTTATACTTTGATGTATTACCAATTACGGCCTTATACTACTTGCTTTGCATGCACACTTCTGTGCACAATAATAACTCTGTGGTTGAATTTATTGCCTTGAAAAGAGAGAAACGTTCTCGTACAATGTCTTGTCCGGAGAAATAGGTCTCAGTCCAACGGCACTTGCAAGTTTCTATCGGCATCAAAAAATGGCCGCAAGAACATTATGGGACAAATTCGAAGTGGAAGAAAATCAAAAAAAAAAGATAATTGTAGTATGGTGCACGCAGTCTAAAGCCACCACTATTTATCACGTGACTTCAAATGAATAGAAAAAAAATTGGATGAATATTTTCCAAATACGTGTATCATGATAGTTTATATGGTACTCTTTTATGTAACAGAAAGTTTTTTTAAATTGGATTACTGTAGCATAAAATATATAAG